GCAGGTACAGGCGCCCTGGCCGGCCTGTCAAACATTCACATTATTACACGTCATCCTCTCGTAATCTCCCTCTGGGGATCAATGGAGTACCATCTTAGAATAGACGCTGTGCATCCCAAAGTGGATTTTTCTTTAAATTTGAGTGTAAGTCGACGCGAATCACATGCATTTTTTCATTTTGTTTTTCAATAAAGAAAAAAATACACAAAATAAATACACTAACTCAACAACAAAACTCTTCTATAACCTAGCAATTCTCTATACTGCCAGTTTCTTCTCTTTTAGTTTTTTTCTCAGATCTTGATGTAAAATCTGCAGTATGACCTGTAGATGGACCTTAACTCTCTGTCTCTCGCACAAACACTGTGTCTCCAGATCATGCTGCGGGAGTTTGAAACGCGGCGGCCGCAGTTTGACCAGCTGACCCGAGCGGCAGAGGGCATCCTGTGCCCCGGTGGCGAGGAGGCGCAGGATCAGGAGGAGGTGCGGGAGCAGCTGAGCACCGTGTCGCAGCAGTGGGCCGAGCTGACGGAGCGCTTGTCCCGCCGCTCCGAGGACATCGATCGCGCCCAAGCAGCCAGCCAGCGGTACCAGGCGGCACTCCGGGAGCTGGCCTCTGGCGTGGCGGAGCTCGGCACGAAGCTGGATGCTCAGGCCTCGCCCAGTAGCCGGCCAGAGGCACTGCGTCGCCAGCTGCAGGAGACCAGCGAGCTGCGGGCACAGCTGGAGAGGCGGCGGGCCCAGCTAGGCCAGGCAGAGGAGCTGTGCCAGGAGCTGAGCGCCATTGTGACTGAGCCGTACCTGCGGGATGAGCTCCGCAAGAGGCTGGGGAGTGTGAGCACCCCCCTCAGGAGCCTGGAGGAGAGAGCGGGTCTGTCCATCTCCCTCTATTACTTTGTACACTCCTGTCTGTGTCTCACTCTGAGCCTGTCTATCCCCCTCTGTGTGTTTGTTGTCTCTCTGCGCCTGTCTCTCCCTGTCTGTCTCTCCCTGTCTGTCTCTCCCTG